TTGAGACAACTAACTGCTATTCAATCTATAACAGTGAAAAAAGTTTTTTGTTTTTAAATGCAAGCTATTGTGACACCAGTGAGTGAGTGGTCGCACTGGGCACAGTATCCACTGTGAGCCTGACACACCCGCTTGAGACAACTAACTGCTATTCAATCTATAACAGTGAAAAAAGTTTTTTGGTTTTAAATGCAAGCTATTGTGACACCAGTGAGTGAGTGGTGGCACTGGGCACAGTATCCACTGTGAGCCTGACACAGACGCCGGCAGACAACTAACTGCTATTCAATCTATAACAGTGAAAAAAGTTTTTTGGTTTTAAATGCACCCATTGTGACACCAGTGAGTGAGTGGTGGCATCAAGGGCTGGTGCACCACTGTGAGCCTTATTACCAAGTAGCTGGCAGACAACTAACTGCCATTCAATCTATTACAGTGAAATGTTTTATTTTTTTAAATGCAAGCCATTGTGACAATTCGAAAGTGAGTGAGTGGGTGTACCAAGTACAGTATCATTCACTGTGAGCCTGACACAGAAGCTGGCAGGCAGGCAACTGCAATTACATTACACAGAAAAAAAAGCAGACTGATGTTCTAGCCCTAAAAAGGGCTTTTTGGGGTGCTGTCCTTACAGCAGAGATCAGATGAGTCCTTCAGGACTGTAGTGGACACTGTATACCCTAACCTAGCTATGCATTTCCCTATCTAATCAACAGCAGCTACACTTTCCCTCCTCTCACTAAGCATGCAGCTTGAGAATGAATGTAAAATGGATGCCTTCCAGTAGGTGGGAGGGTCTGCTAGGGAGGGTGTGCTGCTAATTGGCTGGAATGTGTCTGCTGACTGTGAGGTACAGGGTCAAAGTTTACTCAATGATGACGAATAGGGGGCGGATAGAACCGCGCATATGTTCGCCCGCCATGGCGAACGCGAACATGCTATGTTCGCCGGGAACTATTCGCCAGCGAACCGTTCGGTGCATCACTACTTAAGAGGTAGAAATAGCAACAATAGGGGTATAGCGTAAAATTGAATAGTAAATATGTACAATTGTACAATAGTAGATGTGTAAAAATGCAAATCACAAGGATCATAATATGGTACACATAGAGTTAAAAAGTGGAGGCATAAAGCAATTGCACAATAGTAGATGTATAAGATTGCAAATTGCAAAGACCATAATATGATACATATAATATTAGACATTGGAAGCATAGAACATCTAAAAATGCAAAAACCATATGTAAACAATATATATATTAAAACATATTTTTACATGTTTTATATATTAAAATGCATAGGAGAAAAAATTCAATAAAAATAAATAATAATATATATATATATATATATATATACATATATATAAAGATATAAAAAATATATATATATTTATATATATATATATATATATATATATATATATATATATATATATATATATAAAACATATGCACATAAAAGATGTGAAAAATAAAAATGAGAAAAAATGAAAAAAATTTAAAAATAAAAAATGAGAGATAAAAAGAGGGGGGTTAATACAGAATCAATTAATCCATAAAAACCAATATATCCAAATCCGTATTAAGTCCTGAGGGGACAGAGGATTTCATTTTGTATATCCATTCTGTCTCCCTCATGGCTAACATCTTTTCAGTGTCCCCACCTCTCCAATGTGGTATAACCTTATCAATCCCAATACAATAAAATCCTTAAAATCAAACTCCTTACAAACGTTACAATGTTTGGGTACACTATGCTTTACATTCTTATTCTTAATCCCATTAAAATGTTCTAGTAATCTTATATGTAATTTTCTAATTGTACGTCCCACGTATTGAACACCACATTTACATTGTAACAAATAGACCACGAATTTGCTTTGACAATTAATAAAGTGTTTAATTTTAAAGGTTTCTTTGGTCACTGTACTGCAAAATTCTGTAACCTTATTTTTCTGGAATTTGCATGTAGTGCACCTTCCACATCTAAAAAAACCTTTTGGTTTCTCCGAGAAAAAATTGACTCCCTCCTTAACAACCTCCTTCTTAGGTAAAATACTAGGGGCTAAAATATTCCTCAAGTTATTAGGTCTCTTTGGTAAAATATTCTTTAAAAATTTATCTTGTAGTAGGATGGGCCAGTTTTTTCGAATCGATTTCTCTATTAAATTAGCTCTATTATTAAACTTTGTTAAAAAAGCAAATTCTGAACAATTCTTTACATCCTTCTTTTTTTTATTAAAATGAACATTTGTTAAAAGGTCTTTTCTTTGGAGACTCTCTACTTCTCTTTGTGTATTAAGTAGAAGTTCTCTGGGATAATTTCTATCCGAAAATTTCTCATTTAAAATCTGGGCCTGTTCTCTAAAATCCTCTTTCTCCGTACAATTTCTAAAAATTCTCGTGTGTTGTCCCTTAGGAATATTGGTTAACCAGTTACGGTGGTGACAACTTGAGAACTCAATAAATCCATTTCCATCCGTAGGTTTAAAAAAGGTCTTACTATCCTCACGAGGATTTATGAATGGTCATACCCTAAAAACACAGCCCAATGGGTACGGATTGAGGCCAGTTTTTTCACAACACCAATATATGCCATACCCTGGCTTGATAACAGGACCGAACCGAAAACGCGCTCAGGGATCTCTCACCCCACAATCACACACACAGTGAAACTTTGGTCAACCATTAGGAGAGACGAATACCTTGCACCACACCCTTCACCACTCTATCCACTAACAGGAAACCCCTTCTTCCCCCCAGGTATGGACCACACAGCTTTTCAAAATTTCCCCAAACGAGCACACACACTGACTCTGGGAGATGTCCTAAAAGACCATGGGGTCATTCCCTTTGAACAACTACTACCCATAGAATCACAAACGGGAATGACACGACTGAGACACTCACAACTCAAACATTTTCTGAACACAGACCCACCACTATCACAAGGCCATAGAACCCACACTCTATATGAGACCCAATGCGCTCAACACAACATCCGGAGGGGTCACATCTCCACCTTCTACAAACAATTGTGCCGACGAACAGAAGAACTCCTACCAACCTACACATCCAAGTGGGAAGCGGAGCTGGGGATACAAATACAAGCCAAAGAGTGGCATAGAATATTCACCAACATCTTCCACACATCTAAAAGCAACAGCACACATGAGAGCAATTACAAACGAATAGCCAGATGGCACTACACACCAACCCGCATCCACAG